TTTACTAAACTTACTGTTAATTATAGATTTTATGTGGTGTATTTTTACATAGAAAATTTACTTCACAGTTCTGGAATTATGCAAAAGGTTATATTTAAATCTGTTCAAATCTAATCTCTTTGCCTGGGATTAAAAGCTTTTCTCCTAAAAAAGAATAAAAAGAAACACAGTGTGTTTTACCATAAAAGGAAAACAAATCAAAATGTGTCCCAACTCACTTAATTTCCTCAAAATCACTTTATAATGGAGAGAATCACCAACCACACCATCTCTTATGGATTCATACACATAAACAGAAAAAAAAACCCACCTCTACATAAATTAAAAATAGACAAGCAGAATCCTACGGAAGTGAACTATTTGCTTTCTAGTTTTTAAAACTCAGGAACCAAACAGATTCATATAATGGGCTACCTCAACCTATACTGAACCTACACTACAGTCCAAACTCTCACTATTTGCACTTAGGGACCAAATGGGTTCAAATGTCCAGAAATACTTATTTTCCCCCACTTGCACTACTTTCGTTGGTTCATTCTTTGTCCACAAGAACAGGAATTGATATTCTTATCCATCCCCCAACCCACATTTAGCATTTTCCCATGCCATTACATAGTCCTCGGAAACATTTTATTGGTTAATATCTCCATTGAGGGGATTGCTGTAATTTACATAATTTCTGCTCTACCTCTGAATGTTTATTTGGTCCATTTTAAAATTTTGTTCTACATTAGAACTATAGCTCAATATTCTACACATTTTATAATATTTTAAATGATTTTTGCAAATTGTAACTTAGTAAAACATTATTTTGATAGTTCTGTTCTTATTTCTTTGTGCTCAAAATAAAAATAACATTAAAAAAACGGTCATATGTAATAAAACTAAGTATAAAATCCTTCTTCTAAAGATTTATATTTTAGCCCGGTCGGGCGTGGCTCGGTGGTTGAGCGTCGACCTAGGATCCTGGCGATTGGGGTTCAATTCCTGGTCAGGGCACATGCACGGGTTGCGGGCTCGATCCCCAGTCAGGGGCATGCAGGAGGCAGCCGATCAATGACTCTCTCATCACTGATGTTTCTATCTGTCTCTCTCTCTCCTTTCCTCTCTCTGAAATCAATAAAGATATATTTTTAAAAAAAGAGCTTTGTATTTTATATTATATATTCTGCTCTTAGTTGGTTTCAGTGGGTACCAATTATTTTGCCCCAAATCCCTGTGCCAATTTCCTATAAAAGTGAGATTTAGTAATCAAAAGATAAAAAGATGCACTTATTTTTGCTTTATAAAAATTCACCACTCTGTAAAGACCCTTTTTCTCTTCTCTTACATCTCCACCCACCTCACCCCTCTTCATCTCAACTTTGCTTGAGAGGCAAAGTTGAGATGATCACTCGCCAGCCTCTCTGGACATCCTTACTGATAGCCTTCTTCACTTTCATACTCAAATCTGCCATTGTTCTTTAGTTACACGAGTGCAGAGCCTCCAGTCTAATCACCATCAGTATAAGACAAAAACATGGGAAGAAAGCTTGATAAATGTTTTAGAGACCAATGAATTATGTGCTTAGAACGAAGATATAATATAGCCCCCAAAAGAAAAAGAAAAAAAACTAACTGCAACAGAAATCTGAAATTTAAAAAAAGTCTAATAAATAGCATTCACCAATTGGAGCCAAAAATCCAAAATGGGAGCCCTCAATTCAATAGTAATTACTATGATAAAAAAATTGTTTTACATAAATCCTATCTAAGCTATAACATTTTTAGAACTCAAACTATACAAACATCACTGTTAAATATAAAAACTCATTTGAAACCAAATTTTAACCTAAGGACTTTATAAATCTTATTTGAAACCAAATTTGAAACTAACATCACAGGACTTTAGAAGACACTAATGCAGGACATCCCACCATCAACCACCAAGACAAAAATCACCCTTTTATCTACTCTGACTTTAATATCAGGACTCTACATTAAAATGTTTACTATACCAGGTAAGATAAAATACAAGATTAATATGAAAAGATAAGTATACGTGTTCCTTCCACAAAGGCATCTCCTGAGACGCATGAGAGAAATGTCTTTCAGACAATACATGTAAAGGATTTGGACCCTGGCACTTTTAATACTCCATTGAATTCTGGCCCTTGGGAACTCACTTTGCCAAAACTATAAAAGATGTCACTGATAATCCAAAAGGAGTGGAGGGTGGGGTGGTAGCATATCTATGATACTAAATAGGGTTGTAGGAATATAAAGAAAAAGACAGATACAGACACATAATAAAGAACCACGATACTAAAAATGTGTTTTATTTATCCATATGAGTTTTCTATGAATTTTTATTTTCTATACCTGTGTTGTCCAATATAGTAGCCATTAGTTACATGTGACTACTGAGCCCTTAAAAACTGAGACGTGCCGTAAGTGTAAAATATTGACTGATTTCAAAAACTTATTAAGGAAAAAAGAATGTGAAATACTTCATTTATAATTCGTTAATATTGACTACATGTTAAAATAACATTTTGGATATAGTGAGTTAAATTAACCATATTACTAAAATACATTATTAAAATTTTACCTGTTTCTTTTTATATTTTCAATGTAGTAACGAAAATTTTTTAAATTATGTATGTGGCTCTCATGTTTCTGCAGAAATTTAGACAAAGCTGGCAAAAGTAAAGCCATATTACGAGCCTTAAAGACACTGAAGTTATTAAGGTCCCTGAAAATGGCTATAAGGAAGAAAAATTAAGTATTAGTGCTTTTCTATACCCTCTGAAATATATTCAAATTATGCTTATTAGATAAGATTTTAATATTTACAGTACAAACCTGTATTTATAACAGCTATGTTAGATTTCTTTTCAAAAATGGGGTTTATTGGAGAAGTTTTAATCTTAACATCTCCGGGCATTTCTGAAATATTTTCTTACATCTATACTTGGTTGTCTTTCTACTATTTAAAGAGTAACTTTAGTTAAAATCATGTCTGATAGCCTATGATGGCTATGGACTTTGGTAATATTGGAATACTTGATAACTAGTTTGTTATTTTATCACAAATGATTCAGAATAGATCCATCTTATTCCAAAATCCACTCTGTAACTAAATCTGGTGTAATGAAGCTTTTGTGCATATCCAGATATTTACTACTCACTTTCTTTAAAGATATTCTATTAGTCACTCTCGAACTACTCAATTAATTACCACTCAAAAAACAAATACACCAGCAGGAAAAAATAATTATAGCAAGGAATACCTTAAAGTATCAAAAATATCTTATTCAGTCTTAAATCAAGGAGCTGTCTACAACTATTTTCATATAAACCTATTAGACCTGGCAAACAAATTTAAGCAGTAATTTGACAACTCTAAATAGAATAAAGATCATTCGGTATATATAAAAGGATTCTCTTAATTGAAGGAACAGAATGGTCCCAGCTTGAGTTTATGCTAATATTAGTAAATGCACGCTCAAGTCAAAAGGGTAATGGAGTTGAATAAGAAGTGTGCATGTCCGAAAGAGAATAAAAACCCAAAATAAGAATAGAAAACATAAGTTCATTTAAGGATGACAAGCATTTAGAAGATGATAAGTCATTTTACATTTGTTTGCTAAATATACCTAAGAAACAGAAATTAGTACAATGAATATAAACTACACCTTTTTTTTTTAAATATATCTTTATTGATTTCAGAGAGAGGAAAGGAGATGGAGAGAGAGAGCTAGAAACATCAATGATGAAAGAGTCATTGATCGGCTGCAGCCCGCAACCCGGGCATGTGCCCTGACCGGGAATTGAACCCTGATCGCCTGGATCCTAGGTCGACGCTCAACCGCTGAGCCACGCCCGGTCGGGCTAAACTACACCTTTAAAAATTCTCAAATTGAAACTCAAACTGGATTTGACATTTAAAAGTCAATGTATTTTACAAAACATATGTAAAATAGTAAAATAACAACGATTAATGAAACTTTTTTAAAATTTAGAGTTTCAATAAATTCATTACATATTCAATATTAGGTCTTGACCTTGCAGCTTACATATAACATGATGACCTGAACCTATTTTGCCAGTACTTGATTAAAAACAAACCAACCAAACAAAAACAAAACGAAGTACCTCCTAACTTTATCAGAGTTTGGTTGTTGCCCAACAACTATAAAGATATCCCCTCATACAGGGAAAAATATTTAATAAAAAGTTCTGGGTATCAACTTTGATATCTTCCACTAACTTCTGCATAAAAACTGAGCTGAGAAGCACACAGATTTGCAAACACAGAAAACAGTTTTATTCATTCTGTACTCCAAGCATCTAATGCAGAATCTGACACATATTCAGTACTCAAATGAATGTTAGGTAGATGGGAAGGAAGGAGTGAGTTGGTATATTTGTGAATGAAGGAATTTTGAAGGCGCTGGGTAAAAGTACCCCATGTAGTAGTAGGAAAACGAATAGTGGCTATATATTTTTGGCAAGAGATAACCCAAACCATCCAGAAAGATCATAATACCAAGAACTAATAAAGACTTTTTCAGATGGCAGAAATGACTGACCCTGCTTTCTCTGATCTATGAAGCAAATGAACTGAAAAAAGCAATTTCTATGACATGTCCAAGGGCTCAATGGGCTGTTAAATAAACTCTTGGGTGGGGCACAAACATTAAAAATGGGGGCCAATTACCCCCAGGAAGCAGTACTTGATAGAAGAAAACAATAGTATAGTTCTTTGAAAAGTGTAGTGGGGGAAAAGTTATATTATTTTCTTATTATTTGAATAATTGCAATTTCCATTTAACAAAGGATACCCAACCACAGATTATAGCATTAAGAATTACGAACAAAACAAAGAAATTGAACGGTCTATGAACAGCATGTGTTTTCATTCCAAACACTTAAAACCTTAAACCCCTGACCTCTCTATCCTACTTAAATAGTAAAAAGATATCATGAAAGAAAAATATTTAAGTTTTTTACACTACCTTTTCCTGTGCTCCCATTTATTTTAGGTAAGAAGTCATCAACTTGTATCCCTAGGATTAAGACAGTGTGTCATTGCCTGATCAAAGAAAGGATTACTTTAAAACTGATCTCAAGAGTAACCATGGCATTTTGTATTCCTACTAACACTTTAAATTTATTTTTATAAGTAGTGTTCAACTTGCCATCTTCTATCAACTGAGAGAAAAGGCTACAACTGTTTAGTAGTCTTCCAATGAACCTCAAAAAGAAAAAAAAAGGGATCCTGCTATTTATGTATTTTTCTCATTTAAGTATCTCTAAGTGAAATGTCTCAGATACAGAAATTTCATTCATCTCAAAGGATTAAACAATGGTGCCCACTGGTGGCAATCAAGCATATTTTTAAAGGAAATTTTATGAAAGAGTGTAGATAGTTTATATCTAATATGTAAAATATCACTCTTAAAGAAAATAAGCAGCCAATGTGAGACAGTAAACATCAAAAGTTTAATCATAAAATTCAGCTTTAAGAAATTTGATGACACCTACCTAAGCTGTTGTATTCTTTAAGAGTTTTCTCTTGAAGATGTTCTAACCGTACTGTAAATAAAAGTCCAAGAAAAAGATATTTCACAGATAAAAAGAAAAAAAATCAAATTAAATCGATTTCTGGATAAGCTAATTTACCTTGTAAAGCTGTTAGCCTTTCATTGGTGAAGTCATTATCAGCTTGCAAAGCTTCTATTTTTGCCTGGAGCTCCTGTTCTTTTTCCTCCATTTCATCTATTTTATGTTGTAATTCTTTTTTCTCCGCTTGTCCTTTCTGTTGGATTTCCTCTTGTTTTCCCTCTGCTACCTGTTAAGAAAGAAACAGAAAATTCAGTTATTTAATAAAACCTTATTTTAAGAAACCTAAAGCAGAACTGGTAAGGAGAATATTCAATATTATAGAACATATTTGTAAATATCAAAATGATGTCAAAAGTGATGGCAATGGGGTCATGCCTCCATATCACCTAGGAGAAAAAAACTTGTAGCAAGCAAGCAGGCTCCACACATAGAAATAAAGTGGTCAAAATGAAAAACAGACTTTTAAAGAGGGAAGTAAGGTTTTCCATGTAATTACTATTGCTGCAATTAGTTTATAAGTTCTAAAATATAACTCATTCTGAACTTTTAAACAAAACTACGTTTAGCCAAAGAAATGATAGTTACAAGCACTTTTCAAAACAGCCTCCTTTTAACAAGACCAACAAGGGCTATGCTCTCGTCTTCTCCAACAAATGTATCTCTTCTAGCCACTCAATCAATGGTTTGAATGATAAAAAGACAGGTCTTCACGACCTCAGTTATAGCATTTTAAAGGACCAGCTTGCCATTGCCTATGGTCTGGTCTGTCCTCATCCTACATGTCCTATAGCTACAGAGAGCTGAAGCTGAAGCAGAGTCAAAAGCATCCCTAGGAAGCTACAGGGTTCAAAGAGGTCACTCCAAGGTTCTCTCTGGGCTTGGTTCAGCACTAACAGGTGGGTCCTGTCTTTGGGACTGCCTAAAGATAAGTACATTCAAATTAAAAAAGAAAAGGAAAGTCTGAGTATCTGAGTATCTTGGGTTTTGTTGCCTACTGTGAAGTACTGACTATTTCCATCCAGAGGAACTATGCCAACTTTTATAGACTTTCAATTATCTATGGCAATGGGGTTTGGGTTAAATGGAATATAAGCACCTTATTTTTACTGTAAATTTCAACCACTACCAAATTTTACATCAGCAACTGTTCAACAATACCTAAATTCTTAAGCTATTCAGTGTGTTAGGGCCAATTAACTTAATATACTTTCAGGTTGAGTAAATACATACCTTCAATTTATCAGATAAATCTTTAATCTCATTAACTGCTCCATTATATTTATTGGCTAATTCTCTTAATTCTTCCTGAGTTCGTTCATTCATTTCCTTCAGGTGGGTACATTCATCTTCAGTATTACTCAGACTTCGCTGCAATTCAAGTTTACAGGCAAATGATTTAGAATTCATGTACATTCTAAATTCAATTTATAAAAAGCGTAACTCTGTGGGCTGTTCTAAATCAACATCTGCCCTGAACTTCATGTAAGTCTGAGTTAAATAACAAGGATTTCAACTTACTCCAGGTACATGCTAAAACAGAAAATACAACTATGAATTTTCAAAAACACCACAAAACAGGGACAGGAGAAGAGAATGCTACCACTATTTAATTATACTTTTAAAAGGCTATTGAGTATGACTTTTATTTGGTCTTGAAAATATTTTAAGCCTATCAATTCCTGAAAGCAAGTTTAATAACATGCAGTAATCAACTTAATAAGAAAATTATAAAACAGCTAGCAACTTTCTTCCCTTGCATGTCAAGTTATTGGCATGACAGTGAACCAGTCACTGTAAGATGGGGCTATTACAGAAACTATCCCTATATGAAGGTATGTTTACTATATAGTACAATGGGCATTTTAACTAAATCCAGTAACAGATAACTTCTGTGGTAATTTTACATTGGTTCAAAGGAATGACCTGTATTATCAATAACAGTGTTTTTAAAGCAATGAGAATCACATTTTGTTTGTAAAAGACTTAGAAAGGACCTTAGAGATAATTTCCCCTTTGAATACTTAAAGTTAAGACACAGTTTTCCTCTCTGGAGGATGGGTAAAGTAAGAACAATTGGTATAAATTCTCTGTCTCATACTGATTATCCTCAACCGGAAGAAAAGCAAACTAAGGTGACAACTCCCTGGAACATATCACGTCCCATTGTGGTGGAAGATGAATCCTAAGCAGAGTGCAAATAATAAGACGCCCTGGTTAGGCTTTTATTTCCTCAGCCACTGACTAGGGACCATAAGCACCAGAACTCACATGGTTACGTTGGTTATGTTGAGAATTCCTGACAATAAAAACAGTGTACTGCTCCTTCCCACCTGACAGACAGGAAATATTTCCTAGCTATATAATAATACCCAAGTTTAAAATGTCCTGAAGTATTAGCAATCTTATGCTAAAATTTAAAAACCATATTACTATTTAATATTTATTAAATTGAAATACCTCAACTTCTGAAAGTTTTCTAACCACTTCAATTTTCTCCTGAAGAACCCGCCTCAGAGACTCTTTGGCCGTCATCTCATAGTTGTGCTTATCCTCTTGCAACGCTATGAGTTCTTTCCGCAAACTATCTTCTGTTTGATTCTAGGATTTAAAGACAGTTATAATTATAGCCAAGTTATTTTTTTTTTTAGTATTTACCATTTGAAAAAAATAACACATTATGATGCTCTTTGAATTCTATATGAAGATACAGTAAAACCTTGATATAACGGACTAATTTGGGCAAGGGGGTGTTGTTAAGTCCGTTACATAATAAAGTAGGTTTTCCGAATGCATATGTTAAAAAATTGACAAATTAGTTTACCTGTTTTTACTTATGTAAACATGGTTGTGTAATTAAAAGTAAGTATGTATGAAAAGTTTAATTTCGCAAAGTTTTCTGTATGTGAGTGTAATTTTAAATTTATACTGAATAGTTATAGTAAATGCATACATTCACAAGTCACCAAGAGTAAACAAATGCACACGGCTAGGGGGGGAATGCACACATGGGAACACTGGCCCGTACTCTTCAAAACTGCTGCAGACACCCGGCAGGAGTGGCTCAGTGGTTGAGCATCAACCTATGAACCAGGAGGTCACAGTTTGATTCCCAGTTGGGGCACATGCCCGGGCTGTGGACTTGATCCCCAGTAGGGGGCGGGCAGGAGGCAGTGATCAATGACTCTCATCACTGATGTTTCTCTCTCTCTCTCCCCCTCTCCTTTCCTTTCTCTGAATAACATAAAAAAATAAAATAAAATAAAACTGCTGCAGAAAGTCAAAGTCCACGTGACAACAGAACCAACTACCTCGGGAGATGTGATGTAATCACGTACTAATCATTTGTTGAACACTGTTTACAAGCAGTGACTATTGGATTTAGATATGTAATAGTTGTAGATATCTAATATTTATTTATGTCAGCGAAATTACTATAGTGTTTTTCCCAATAGATGGCCTATTCACTGAAATTTGTGAATTAATAATAAACAGTAAATTAATAATAAAAAACAACCTGTTTAATTATTAGCAAATCTTGGTTAAAAGCATTTTAAAATTAACAGGGTGTTAATTTTCACATATGACATATGGATCGGAAATTTTGTCCATTAAATCCGAAGTCTCTTAAATTGACGTCTGAAAAATCACGGGTTTACTGTAGCTCTAAACATATATGATGTTGGCCCTGTATTAAATGAAGTTGTATTTAAAAGATGCATTAGTGCACTGGCTGGATAGCTCAGTTAGTTAGAGTGTTGTTCTGGTACACCAACTGCAGGTTCAATCTCCAGTCAGGGCACATAAAAGAATCAACCAATGAATGCAAAAATAAGTGGAAGAACAAAATCAATGTTGCTGTTTTTTTTCTCTCTCTCCCCCCTTCCTATCTAAAATCAGTCAATAAAAGGTGCATTGGTAAGTTATGCCTTTGCAAATATATTAATTCATACTTACAATAGAAAAAAAACACAAAAGAAATTGAGACTTTCTCTCAAATATACAAAATGATTTATCTATTTTTCATATTCTCTGCAAGCCACAATATTTACATTTGTGGATAAAAATAATGTATTACCTTCAAAGGGCCCAAGCATTTTAAAACAATGGTTAAAACAAAAAGAGTAAGAGCACCAGGTGGAAAAGCTGATTCCAAGTTTGAGGCAGGAAACGTACAAGATGAGCCTGGAATGTCTTGTCTGATATGATAGCAGGAAGCTATCAGAGTCTGCTAGGGTTCTATCAAAAGGACTCAGGCGCCAACACGAAGAAGTTCTCATGGATCAAAGATGGGGTAACTTGTGCATCAGTAAGGAAAATCAAATGCAATAGGATGAAACACACTAACTATATTTAAATTTAAGTTAGGGAAGAAAACAGTTCATGGTCATTCTTTGGTGGATGAGAAGGAATCAATTCATTATTTTGAAATCTAGTAAACGGAGAAAATCATTTATCCTGCTTTTCCTTAAGAAAATGTACCTCAGGGTAACCAAATAAATGAAGAATGATAAAATTATATTACCATTTTTGTAACCCTTAATAAAATAATGGATCTAGGCAAGGATCATCAATGACTGCTAATATCTCAAAAAGAAAGACAACTTCTCATTATGGTACCTCTTGGTGAAAGTATATAACCACTCATTAAGTTGTTGGCAAAAAAATAACAACAAAAAAACTAAACCTAAACCAAATCCCTAGATCAAACTTTCAGTTTATCGTGTGGGAGGGGGAGCTAGGAGAATGTTTAAGTAACAGTCCAGAATGAGAGAAATTACAGAAGACAAATGACCTAGGTTCTCCAACAAGTATAGAAAAAAGACAAAGAGTTGTACACGGGTATTCACTATACAATTCTTTCTACATACACATATGTTTGAAATTTCCTATACAGACAAAAGATTTAAAAGAATAGTGAAAATGTGTAATTGCTTTAGCATGTACTCAAAATGACAAAAAAATGAAGCTACATAAAAAATTATGCATTTTTCTTTATGTACCTGAGACTGATACCTACTTTGGAGCATGCCTGTAACTGGTTTCCCATAACTTCTAACCGTGATAAGAGTCTATCTTCATCTATTAAAGCCTGTTGAAGAAAAATCAAATATAAATAAAATCTCAGAGCAATTAAAAAACAACATATCAAAATTGTTGCTACTGCTAAAAAAAGAAAATCATAAAACTGACCAATATCCAGAGTAAAAAGCTAAGTTTTCAGTATTTGTTCTTTAGGAAAAAACTTTGCTTTTGCTTGCTACAAAATTTTAGTTTTAGTTTAATCAACATCTAAGGGATATTAAACTTAAATGCTTAAATGCTTCTTGAAAATAAAGACAATTAGAATACCTGCCAACTGGTATCGGAAGCCTCTTGAGTGATGGCTAGTAGCCGCTGAAGTGTGGCTAACTTCTGTTCCAACATCTGTTCCCGGTGTAAGGCCTCCTGATATAACAAATCACAAGAGATTCTAATAAACTCAGCATGATTCCTTTGAAGAGTAATCAATTTTTAGCACATTCTGAAAATACTCTCATGTTACATTCCACTTTATATCTTATTTTCAAACTTGATAAATCTACTTTGTAAAATATATATAGGCGATATCATTTTAGCTTCATTTTTTTGGGCTGCAAGTACTACCGTTAGGAGTGCTCTAGCAGCAACTTTTCTTCTAACAGAAAAAAAAGTCATCTTGTGTTTTGTTTTTTTACTCATAATTTACAAGAGTTACAAAAAAACATCGACAGTAGAAGAAGCCAACAAATGTTTTAATCTCAAATTTTATAAAAATCAATCTACCCTGGCTAGTATGGCTCAGTTGGTTGGGCATCATCCTAGGTAACAAAAGGCTACCAGTGAAATCCCTGGTCAGGGCACATGAAGGGGTTGAGGGGGCTTAATCCCCAGTAGGGGGCGAGCAGGAGGCAGCTGATGATGGATGTTTCACTCTCACATCGATATTTCTCTTTCTCGCCCTCCCTCCCTCTCTAAAAACCAATAAAAATATTTTTAAAAAAATCAATCAATCCAAATCAACCAACCAACCAACCAACCAATCTCAGAACAAACTAATCAAACTCATTGCAAACTAAGTCAAAACAATCTGGTCAATAGCAAATACTTCTTTTTTAAAAAAATATATCTTTATTGTTGAAAGTATTACAGATGTCCGCGTTTT